CTCAGTTTTTATTTAATAAACATGGAAATCCACTATCATGAGTCACTTTCCCTTATAGTAATCTAAAGTATAATGTTCATTTATTTATCCAGGAGGGAAAAACAGAGACACTTGTAAGTTTTCTGTATTTAACCGAGATAAAAAAAGAGTCCCAGAAATGTTGTGACTTCAATCCAAGTTCAAATGGCAACCTCTGTTTGGAAATCGCCATGATGATGGCAGGAATGTGAAATGAGCTGAAGCCCCCCATCAGCAGTCAGGAGGAGTTTAATGGGACCCCGTGGCATTATTCTCTTCCCTCCCAACTAGGACTGGCACTCACACAGCTGGGCATTAAGATGGCTTCCAAGGTCCAGAATCAGCCGCTGGCCCAAGGCAGCACTGGCCCTGGGGCTGGAACTCAAGAGGCAAATGAATCAAAGGCTCTTTCATTCCTCCTCCACCGGCGCATGCTCCCTCTCTGCTGTTACTTAAATGCTTGCCAAACGAATTATGTCGCTCCAAACAGACATAAAGAAATCTTAAATAACACGTATCACTTGGGGTTTGTGTGTGTGTGTGTGTGTGTGTGTGTGTGTGTGTGTGTGTTTATGCCAGTCCTGACACCTAAACTCAGGATCTGCATGCTGTCCCTTAGCTTTTCCCACTCAAGGCTGGTACTCTATCTACCATTTGAGCCACACCTGGCTTTCAGCTGGTTAACTGAAAATAAGACTTTCCTGCCCAGGCTGACTTCAAACTGAAAATCCTCAGATCTTAGCCTCCTGAGTAGCTAGGATTCATAGGCCACTGGCAGCAAGCTGTGCTTTGGAATCTTACTAAGTCCAGGTGACCAACCAGTGTATTCTGTTTGCTTGTAGCTTTGAGGCACATCAAGTGAGTTAGATCACTGAAGAAACAAAACCTTTCCAAACCAGGAGTTACAGCTGACATCCAAACTCCATGAGTGAAACTCAAGGGTCGGACGGCATTTCCTTTTCTCCTCTTCCCTTTAAATCCAACTTGCCCTTAGGACTTTTGCTATTGTGGGGCTTTACCATAATGCTTCCAAATTCTCTGGTGAAATAAATACCCTTGCCGCTGACCCTCTCCCCCTCCCCCCTCCCAGTCCCTCCCCACCCCTTCCCTTCTCATTCTGAACTCAGCAATTACAGCCCATTTATCATTTTTTACAAGTTCTTATAAAGATTTTGGTGGTCTTTTTTGGTTGTTGTTTTTTTTTAATATTTATAGTTCACAGCTTGTCCTCTCAAAATGACAACTCCTTGAGGGCAGGGAGTCCACTGCACTCCACACATAGAAGGTTACAACAGCTCCTGAGACACCTGTTTGTTTATTCAACAGATGTCTGCTGAACTTCTACTCAGAGCTAGGTACTTGCTCTGGGTGCTGGAGAGACAGCACTTAGCACAGGGGAACCACAGCTGCTGCAGGCCCAGAGCTGTCTAAAAGCAGCATCTCAGGGTCCCCAAAGAACGCCTAACACACTCGCTAAACCACTGCAGATGAGTAGCACACTAGATATGCATTCCCGATACAAGCCAGTAAAAAAAAAAAAAAAAAAAAATTAGGCTGAGAATGTGGCCTAGTGGTAGAGTGCTTGCCTAGCATGCATGAAGCCCCGAGTTCCATTCCTCAGTACCACATATGCAGAAAAATCTGGAAGTGGCACTGTGGCTCAAGTGGTAAGAGTGCTAGCCTTGAGCAAAAGCAGCTCAGAGAAGTGCCCAGGTCCTGAGTTCAATCCCTAGGACTAGCAACAAAAGAAAAATAAATACATTTTAGCCAGGCACCAGTGGTTCACCGTGTGGAATCCTATCTACTCAGAAAGCCTGAGATCTGAGGATCACAGTTCAAAGCCAGCCTAAATAGAAAGTCCGTAAGACAATTTACCACCAAAATGCCAGAAGGAGAGCTGTGACCCAAGTAGTACAGCACTAGACTTGAACAAATGAAGTAAATAAAGCCCTAGGACTGGCACAAAAAGCATTAACTGCTACCCTGAAGAGTAACTAGGTGACCTATCCAAACTTCTAGTCTGCCCTGACCATGTTAGTCTCGGAGGTCAAGGTGCTGGAGGCCAGGTGGCTAGCTGAATCTGGTTGGATAAAGATAGCTGCCAGAGTGACAGCCAGACAATATCTAACTTTCCCATTATCTCATCCACATGCTAAATGGCACACCCTCCAGCAGGGAGATGACTGACAGTTACCATGGCGACAACTGGAAAGAACCATAAAAGGAATGGACATGTCATTCCTCCACTTTATTCACCCCTCCTCCTCCATCTCTTTCACCCTGTACCTACAACACAGCAGCCCACCCCACAAGAGTTGACAAGTTGAACTGCCAGGTCTTTTCCCACTTCTGAACTCGGCCAAGAACAAAGGTCTTCTTCACTACTCTGCTGATATCGTCTTGTTATTGCTTCTGAGAGGGAGAAAGGGCCATACCAGTGGCAAAAATTGGTAACAAAGAGATAGCTACACCTTCCAACTGTGTTGGGGGAGGGCCCACACACGCATACCAGTCCTGGGGCTTGAACTCAGGGCCTCGGTGCTGTCCCTTAGTTTTTTCACTCAAGGCTGGTGTTCTACCATTTGAGCCACAGTTCCATTTCCAGCTTTTTGCTGTTAATTAGAGATAAGAGTCTCATGGACATTCCTGCCTGGGCTGGCTTTCAACCACGATCTTCAGATCTCACAGGCCTGAGCCACCAGCACCCTGCTGAGATACTCCCGCCTTCCAAATGGTAATTTTCACTCTTCAAAGGACAACAATCCCATTTAGAGATTCAGCAAGTTTTACATGGAGAGCTTCGAATTTATCATTAAACCCAGGCACAACAAAAGAATTACCTATCATTAACTACTATAAAGGCTTAATGTAATTGCTAGTTAAAAGATGTTCAAGAACAGAAACAATGGTCCTGTCTGTCACACTTGAAAAGGGAAAGGGGAAAACATCAGAAATCTGAATGGAATGTTTACGAACATGAGGGAAACGAGAAGCATTTTCTCCAACAGAGTAATTACATTCCTTCATAATTGCAATACTACAAGCTTCAGAATCTGTCGTTGCTACTGGTGATACAGACGAGGGCAGAAAGAGCTTCCAGAAATCAGTGGAAACTTCATGGGGTTTGGCTTCAGGCTTAGCAAGGGTCTTGACTTGTCCTTGAGCCAAAAAGATGCAGACGCGCCGGTGGCTAGCCTCCTATTCCCATGCCACACGTCAGCTGCTCACCCAGTGGGTGAGGCTAGCTCTGGTTCCATGCCCATTTCCAGAACCAAGAGTGTACGGTTCACAAAGTCCGGGCAAGAACGGCCCGATTCACTGACAGGTGCAGAGCAGAGGGAGTGCAAGCCAGGCTACGATGACCTGCCCAAGTGCTGGCTGTCAGCCCGGCTGTCCCCTCCTGCCACCTCGCCTGGCCTCACAGGCAGGCTCACCTGCCCAGTGCTGGCGGCCAGGCCCTGCAGGAGCCCGGCTCGGTGCCCCCCACCCTGCAGCGCTCTTATGGAGGCCCACCTGGCCTTTGTTTCAAGATTGACATTTTATTTTAGCTAAAGTTCCTATTCTTGATGAAATCAGCATGCCTTCTTTAAGTAACCCTTCAGACATCAGAACACCTACTAATATTCATTATTGGTTAACTGGAGAAAAGAGTCTCACCAATTTTGGTGCCCTGGCTGGCTTCAAAGGGCAATCTTCAGAACTCAGCCTCCTGAGTAGTGAGGATTACAGACCTGAGCCATGAGGCCAGGCTCAGAAAAAGGATTTAAAAGAATGCAAATTGGGCTGGAAGATGGTTCAGTGGTAATGTGCTTGCCTAGCATGCCTGAGGCCCTGGGTTCGATTCCTCAGCACCACATAAGCAGAAAAATCCAGAAGTGGCACTATAGCTCAAGTGGTAGAGCGCTAGTCTTGAGTTGAATAGTTCAGGACCCGTGACCAACAAAAAAAAAAAAAGAATGAAATCCTTCTCACGTTCATTGTCTTCCGCCACTTCCCTTCCCTGGGAAGTTCAAGACAACTGGCCTTGAGGAAAGCAGTAAACGTGGCCGCTGTAAGTGGAATTCATCTGCGAGCTGGAAGTTGAGATGACTTCAAAGATACAACTAAAGCAACTTTTTTAGTCACCTGCAGGCCAGTACAATCATGCTAATCGGTATTTAGAGTACTCTACTATACTCTAAATCAAAACAAACTGTCCAAGTAGCCTGGGCAACACATTTCCAGCAAAGTCTTGGAGTTCAAACACCCTGAAGTCTCATTTAGTAAATATAGTAATCAAGCACCCAGGACAGCTTTTCCCATGAATTCACACACGAAAAACCATTATCAAGAGCGCTAGTACTGGGGCTTGAACTCAGGCCTTGCACTCTCACCCAGCTTTTCAGCTCAAGGCTGGTGCTCTACCACATGAGCTATATAACTCTACCTCCGGCTTTCTGGTGGTTAATAGTGGGTGAGTCTCATCAGTATTTTTTTTTGGGTCCGGTAGTGGGCCTGAACTCTGGGCCTGGGCGCTGTCCCTCAGCTCTTCAGCTCAAGGCTAATAAGCTACCACCTGAGCCATAGCACCACTTCCAGCTTTTTTTTTCTGCTTATGTGGTGCTGAGGAATCGAACCCAGGGCCTCAGGCATGCAAGGCAAGCGCTCTACCACTGAGCCACCTTCCCAGCCCCCTCATCAGTATTTTTGCCCTGGCTGACTTTGAACTGCCTTCCTCAGACCTTATCCTCCTAAGTCACAATACCATCTTTTTTTGTGTGAGCCAAAAGCATGTGAAAGAATGTATTCAACTTCCATTATCATTTTTATCTAGCTAGCAAATACATTATTCTACCCCCCACACACACACCAAACCCAATCACTTATCTAAGAGTAAATGCTTTGTTTTCCTTCTCACGCACAAGCAATTGTCTTCTTCTTGGAACTAAGAGCTGGGAATAAAACACTGGCACTTTAAATTTTCTTTTTTTTGGACTCTTAATATATTCACTAGGGCAGTCATTTGGGCAAACTCTGCCAGATGGACAGACAGGATCTGGAAGGTCTGAAGAGCTCTGGAGAGACTTTATGGTGAGTGGCATGCGGTCCTCCAACGCAGTCTCTCATCAATCCTGGCAGAGAGGCAGCCCGTGAGTTGTCAGGGAAGTTAAACATCACTGCCAGCCTCTGTCGGATGCAAACAAACAGCGACTAACAGGTTTCACCTGAGCTCAGCACGGGGCGCAGATGCTCTTCCACAAGACACAGGTTGCACTAACACGGGTGGCGCGCGTCTGTTAAGGAGGGGAGGGGTGCGTCGGGAACGCCGCTCACTGGCAAGGCGCCGGCAGCAGCCGCAGTGTCGTTTCTTCCCGGGCTGCGGCCGCGATGGGGGAGGGACCGTGGCTCCCCGAGGCGCCACATTCCCACTGGAGTGAGGTTGGTGCTTTCACGGACTATCTTCCTTTTCCTTACCCGCGAATTCAAAGTGATCTTGCACACGCACGCGGGGTCTGGTGGCGATGCCACGCGTTGCCACTTCGGCCTCTCCGGTGCCCCGGGAAAGGATGGCGACCCTGAGAAATGTCCGCTGGCCTGTGGGGCCGGCTGGGGCCGGGCTGGACGGAGCGTCCAAGGCTGCCCAACCCCCGGGCGCCTTCCCCCTCTAACCAAGCCTCCGGGCCCAAAGCCAAGGCCCCTCCATCCAGAACCCCGCGAAGCAGGGCGCGGCAGAACCTCTCCACACACACACACCCACTTTTTGCGCGCGCGCGCCGGAGATGATCCCTCCACGACCCACGTCCCGGGCGCGCGGACCCCAGGGAGGACGACTGATGAGGCGTGCCCATGCCCACGGGCTCCATCCCCCCTCCGAGGCAGAGCGAGGCAAAGACGGGGGACGGCTGCGCCCCAGCCCGGCACCAATCCGACAGCAGGCGCGGGGCCAGCGGGAACCTGGCTGTGCCACGGGGCGCCGCCGCGGCCCCGCGCCCAGGCCGTCCGGAGTCCAGGCCGAGCGGGAGCGCCCCGCGCGGGGTCCCCAGGCTGCCCGGGAAGGCCGGGCCACCCCCACCCTCTCGGCCGGGCTCCGTGGAGGCCCCCACCCCACCCCACCCCGTGCCGGCCGGATGGATCTACTTACATAACGCTTCAACTTTTTCTCCGGGGGCGACTTGCGGAGCCATCCCGAGCAGACCACCTCGCCGCCGCTCATGGCGTGCGCCGGTCGGGCTCCGGCCCGGGCGGCCGGGGTGGCAGTGGGCGCCGTGGAACGGAGAATCGAGGACCTCGCGGATCCCCGACGGCGCGCGCCGCCGCGGAGCCCCGGGCGGGGCGGGGGGTTCGCCCGCCGGCCTCGGTTCACAGCGGCCGCCCGGGCGGCGCGGGGTCTCCGCGGGACGCGGTCCGGGCCCGGCGCTCCGCCCCCTAGGGACGGGACCTCCCGAGAGCGCTGCCCCGGGGCGGTCACGCACACCCGGGCCACACGCACAATGCCCCGCTCCGGCTGTCCCGTGCTCGTTCCCGCTGTCGGTGCGCCCGGCGCGGTCGTCTCCCTTCCTCTCCCCGGGGAGGGCGGGTCGCTGCTCCGCGGGGCCCTGGGAAGCCGCGAAGCCTTGGCGGGCGGCGGGCGGCGGGCGCAGGGCCGGTCCCGGGCCGCCGCGGGAGTCGGCGCGAGGCGCGCGGAGGTCGCAGGTCGGCCGGAGGGTGGGTCCGCGGCCGCGGCCGCGGGGAGGGCGGGGAGCGCGCGGCTCCGGGCGCCGGGCGGCTCCGCTCGGCTCGGCTTGGCTCCGGGGTGGGATCCCACAGCCCCGTCCCCCAGCCCGGGGCGCGCGGCGGGGGTCTGCTCAGCCCCGCCCCGGCTCCCGACGCCTGCTTCGGCCGCCGCGGGCCCCGCTTCCTCCCTCTCCGGCGGCCCGGCCGCGGTCGGGCTGGCTCGGGTTCGCCCAGACTTTCCCCGAAACTCCGCCGGAGCGCGCTTCCAGCCAAAACAACAAGGGCCGGGAGGAGGGCGGCGCGGGGAGGGCGGGAGCGAGCGAGGGAGGGGGCCGGGCGCCGTCCCAGAGGCACCCTGGGATGTGTAGTCCGGGCTCGGGAGCGGGGTCGCCGCCGGCCCGCCGCCCCCCCGCCGCCGGCCGAGGCCTCCGGGGGCGCGGGGCGGGCGGGGCGCGCGGCCCCCGCCGGCCCGGCCCGGCGGTGCCATCTTGGGCTCCGCGAGTGTGGGTTCGCGGTCCGCTCGGGGCTGGGGGGCTGGGGGAGGGGGGTTCTGGTGTTTGTTGTCTTTTTCCTACTTGACAGCCCGGAGAAGAAAGTGGCCCGGAGGGGAGCCGGGCTTCCGCCGGCCCCGCCGCGGGCCCCTCGGTGGGGCGGGAGGGTGCCGTCGGGGCGCTCCGCGGGCGCGCGAAGCCCAGCCCTGGACGTGTCGGCTGGCCGCGCGCCCCGGGGCCGCTCTCGTTCCCTTCGTCCACCATGACACCGAGATCTGGAGTGCCACCTGGGCCCCGGTCTACCGGCCGCAAAGCCTCAGAGAAAGCTCTAGAAGGACGCGCAGACACGAGTGCGGGAGACGCGAAGCGATGCGTGAGCGCCGCCTTCCTTCCCCCCCACCCCCTCAGGCGTGCTCGGGACCCGCACGGCCCGGGTCGGTGGTAGACCTGGCTCAGCTTGGAGAAACTTTCCCCGCGGACACCTGCGGCCCCGCGGCTGGAGGCCAAGGTCTGAGGATCATGGTTCGAAGCCAGCCTGAGCACAAAGGGCGACGTGGAGCTGTGGCTCAAGTGATCGGCCTTGAGGGAACGAGCTAAGGGTCAGAAATCAGGCCCTGGGTTACTAGGACAGACAGAGACAGAGGGACGACAGACAGAGACTATATCCCTGTGTATAAGGTGCCACTCCTACTCCAGTCCTAAAGTCCTGTCAAAATGGAACGGTGTAATGTCTCTTCTGCGCTCTAGCTTTTGGCAGTTCTGGTGTATTTTTCTTCATTTCAAGTAAGATGTTCAGTTATCACATTTCTCCGTAAGAAATCTTCATGATTCCCTGTCTTCCAGCTGTCTTTGTTTTAGACCCATATTTTCCTCTACAAAGATCGCGGTTGAGGCGAGGTTGAAGACAGTCTCTGTGAATATACAATATTTTGGAAAATTTACAGTTATTTTTACAGTACAGGCCACTTTTTAGCTCATCTGTTAAATCACAATTTGCGTCTCTAGGCATTAAAAAGTATGCCCGAAAAAGCTGTGGCACGGGAGAATCTTAAATTGTATTCACATAGCAAACGTTAACAGAATGTCTAGTAATACTTGCTATTCCCTGAGGAGGATCTGGGGTACAACAGAGACTTAGTCCTGCTTTCCTCTGTCCTCGAGAAAACTGTTTCACAGATAATTAACCTTACAACGTCTAGAATTTAGATGATAAATGCTGTAGAGAAAAAGTCTTGTTGGACATATAATAGATGATTCACCTGTCCTAATCCCCATGCAAGTGAGTAGCAAGGATGGGTTGGAAAAGATTTCCCTGAAGAAAGGACTTTAAACTGAGCTCCTCAAGGTACTCAGAACTTGGCCTGGCCTGGAAAAGAATATTTCACACCAAAAACAAATAAGTAGCCACTATTATACAGATTCTCAGGCTTGAAGGCACACGTCAAAGGACTGGAGTGAACACAGTCATGAAGTAAGCAAGTGAGGAATGTCATTATTGAGACAGATTACAGATGCAGGCAAAGAGCCACCTGGAAATCCTCTTGAGTTTACACTTTTCCTTACAGCCAAAGACCTGTTGTCTCCTGTGATCTTCCCATCACCCAAAGGCCGCGCCTTGTTGTACCTTACTGTGTACCTCCAACACTCCATTTTAGTTCCACTTTAACAGCACAACTTCCCACGTGGTCTGTTTCTCTCTGTGCATTCATGTCAGGTTATCTGCTGAAACTCCTAATTGTGCTTGCCATAGTCATCAGTTGTTGGATGCTTGGATTGTTCCCAAGTGTTTGCTATTATGAGTAATGCCTACAATGACTCGGGAGCCTCCTGCACGTTTACCACATTCCCAAACCCTCCTCCTCTCCCATCCACTCCCTTTTCTTATAGTTTCCAGGTGCTCAGACCAGCCTCCTTGAGCCTATTGCTATCATACATGCAAACCCACCTGCCATTCTGCTGCTGCTGCTCTACCACCTCCACCTCCACCACCACCACCACCTCCTCCTCCGACTCCGACTCCGACTCCTCCTCCTCCTCCTCCTCCTCCTCCTCCTCCTCCTCCTCCTCCTCCTCCTCCTCCTCCTCCTCCTCCTCCTCCTCCCCGCAGATAGAGGACATAAATTAACCTGCTTCCTATCAGAGGCCCATTGCTCCAGGAACCATCTCAAGAACCCCCCTTACCCTATGAACTGTCTCTATAACTATTGTAGTCTCAATGTAATCCTTTTTTTTAAACCACCCTTTGTATGTGTTCTAATAACACTTTATTTATAAAAACTAGTTGTGATCAGGCATGATAGGACACACCTGTGATCCCACCTACTCGGGAGAAAGAGTCAGAAAGGTTGGATGTAAGGCCAGGCTGAGTGCTGGTAGCAGTGAGATTTTCTCAGAAACAGAAGCTGGATGCACACCCATAGTCCTAGCTGCTTGTGAGGCTGAGATACATGGAAAATGGTGGTTTGAGGCCAGCACAGGCAAAATGTTTTCAAGACCCCATCCCAACTAGTCTACTAGTCTACTAGTGTACATCTGTCATCCAGCTCTACAGGCAGCAGAAATCGGATAGAGGCCCAGGCTGGCCCTGGACAAAAAGCAAGACTCTATTGAAAAGAATAATGAAAGCAAACAGGGTCAGATGTGTGACTCAAGTGGTAAAGCACTAGCAGACCAGAGGCCTGAATTAAATCCTCAGTGATAGGAAGGAAGTGAAAAGTGATGAGCCAGACTTAGTCAAAAACTACACAAACTTCTCAGATGTTGCCCTATACCGCCATGATCCAGTTGGGTTTATATTCACACATATATGTGTACCCCCACAAATACACAAATGCACATATACACTATGTCCTTTTTTAATGGAAATGAATTATTATAGTGGCTTTTTATGTCTATTTATGAAGATTTGATCTTATCTGTTACTCCTAAAAGTCTAAGTTTGGTTTTGGTTTTGGTCTGGTGTTTTGCTTTTCAGACAGGTTCACACTATGTAACCCAGGCTGGCTGCAAACTTGAGATTCTCCTGCCTCTTCTTCCTGAATGCTGGAATTATAGGACTCTACCAGCATGCCCAGCACAATTCTTACATTTGACTGAACTCAGATTTCGAAGTGGAAGCCAAGGCGGCTAGTGGCCTCCACAGCACTAAGTCACATTAATTTTTTAGCCTTCATACTTCTCACTCCGTCCCCAAAGTCTCAGTGCCCTTCAGCATCCACCCCTCAGACCCCAGCTCACCCTTCCTCCTAGGGAAAACCTTGTCTTCTGACCCCAGCTGGAGTCACAGACCCTTCTCTCTTACTGACCTATGTCTTTCTCTTCCAAATGTGTCCCACAGGTGTCTTCTACCTGCTTGTGAAATGATGATATTGCTGTCTCCAAAGATGAAGGCCTCTGTGGATGGAATGCATCTTGTCATGGTGCTTGGTAAGATACACTAAGTAGTGTATCTGGACCTCTAGGCCTACCAGAGTGCCTGGAATATGGTAAGCGTGTAACCCATATTCGTGGGATGAGGGGGTGAATACATCAAGTGAAGGGCTTTCAACCAGTGGCCGACGGGCTCAGCATTGAGTGGGTTAGCTTGCCACCAACATGGCAATTGGGGTGGTGCTTGGGTAGAGAGTGGCCTCAGAAGACTCTAGAAGGTGACAAAACGAACTTGCTGTCACTACCTAAAGACAGGATTGTTTTTCTTTGAAAATGTTCTAATTTATTGTGTGTATGTTTGGTGACCTCTCTGTAACAAAATGTGATTGAGAAAATTGTTGTTTTTAAGCCTCAAAACAAACCATTTAGTATCTTTTCATTAGGTTAAACTTTATAAAGTTGAAATATTTACCCACCTAAATGTATCTAAGGAAGTTGCAGATGAACCTAGAATGAAAGTATTCTTTTTGTTATTGTTGTTGTTGGTCATGGAGCTTGAACTCTAGGCCTGGGCACTGTCCCTGAGCTCTTCAACTTAAGGCTGGCGCTCTAACACCTGAGCCACAGCGCCACTTCCAGTTTTCTGGTGGTTTATTGGAGATAAGAGTCTCATAGACTTTC